ATATATATATATATATATATATATACATACATACATACATACATACATACATACATACATACATGGATACATGGATACATGGATACATACATATGGGCAAAAGCGAAGGAGTGTGGAGTTTTGGCATGGCTTTGGAGTTGGCTTACTCTGCAGGGTCACAACAGATAGTCAATTCCATTAACGCTGCATGTATTCACGCATAGTACCACTATGTTAATTGAAGTGCCGAAAGTATCGGCACATTTACTACTTGCCCATGCAGGAACAGGTTAGGAAGAAAACAGAAAGACTAACCTGCTGAATTGAAAATTGTGTTTAAATGACTGTTCGTACGACTGCTGTCATCGCTTGAGATTACTCGATACTGCCTCTGTCAGGTGGGCTTGTGTCATGGCTATGCAACAAGATTTATATTGCTCATTTAACCACGCGTATGGCACCATTTGTGACACATTTCCTCGATGTGAAGGAAACACATGTACTTCAGGCCGAAAATTCTCCAAAGTTCTTATAGCGGAAGAGTTGAAAATTATGTCTGTGTTCGGTTCTATCCCATTCTTATGCCACGTAAACAAACTATTGACGACTGAGACGACATCACCGTAAACCATCTGGAATAGATTCTAGTCAAAATCTTCCCAACTGTATCAGCGTTTGGGTGTCGGAAACGACACCGCAGTTCTCGTTATATACGGGACTGTGTATGGACCCGATTTCCATGATCGACCTCTGTTTTAGACCCGAATTCCACCGTCTAGTTCTGGAATCAATTGATGGTCAAGAGATGCAGGTGACCCCGAATTCGGCTATCAAACCACACGTAACTTTTGTCCAATTGAAGGCGCTGAGGAGACCAAGTATCAATCTATAGTCTCACGGTAACTGTTGACTAGTGTGGCCGCATCATGGTTGCTTAACTGCAGTACCAAAAATGTGATGGCTGGTACGCGAGGTGTACGAGGGCCAGCGTCGAGGACGCCACCCAAAGGAAATGAGGAGCAGTGTAACACATTACTAATGTAACCTTCTGACGTCTGAGGACTACCTTAAGATTAGTCTAGCTACCATACGCGCGAGCAGGCCTTCCAACCAAGCTCCAATTTAATCTCTTTGTTCTCTCTAAATTACATATATTCATTTTAGCTTATAGGCTTCTTCCATCATTGAGGAAGTCTCAAAACGCTGCATCAAAATTGTCTGGAGGATGTGAAATACTGGTAAGTGGCATTTTACCTTGAGTGAGAAACCACCTCAAATTTTAAGTGTGTTAGTATTGGTTACCATGACCCGTAACTAGGAGGTATACTTAAACGCAATAAAATTTATGAGTGCGCTACGAAATTTGGATTAAATCTGCTAAAAAGTAGGCCAAGTATTTTAGTATTATTTAATAAACTAATAGGTATAAAATTACTCTATGCAATTTAAACACAACTTTTTTACAATTATATAGCTTTTAAAAAATATATACACTATTAATCTAGCGCAAATCACACTTTGAGTTTGTTTCACCTTGTCAATCTGCGTTCTACATACCGGTCTTCGTCACCGCTAAAGATAAATAAAATGGAGGAAGCTGGTGTTTATGCCTCGCAGGGCATAGGGGGATATGACAGAGCAGAGGTTAACAGTAGTATTGAACAGAGGGATAATCATGCACAGTACACCATTCAGAGCGTTCTTCATTTTATTCAGTCGGAATGGACACGTTTGGAGTTGCAGCGTTCTCAGTGGGAAATGGAACGAGCTGAACTGCAGGTAGGTTATTTTGTTTGCGCTATCTCTTGTTCAGGCGAGGATAGCATTCCTACAAGGTGAGAGACGTGGTCAGGAAAATATAAAACAGGATTTGGTTCGTCGGATTAAAATGCTGGAGCATGCTCTCAAACAGGAACGCGTCCGATACCATCAGTTGAAATCTACCATCGATAACAATATGGACAAATCAGTAGACGAGGCTTCAAAGGCTGGTCCTGACAGTTCTGTTGAGAATGTCAAAGACTATAAGAACGTAATGGACCCCGGTAGACAATTAGCACACTGTACGGAACAGGCTCTCCAAAGCAATGCTAAATGGCGCGAAAGTCGTCTGAAATTAAAGCAGTGAGTTGCAAGCATACCTAATCCGTCTCAGGACTCATTTTACTTTTTAATGATTTCATGTGATATATAATCGTGCCTGTCTGAGATGCGCATTTTATTTGAATAGTTTTCTGCAAGAAGTCGGTTACACAGATTCGGTCTTAGCCATCCGTCAAAGTCGTGTACGTCAACTGCTCTGTGCAACAAATGGGGACGTAGAGGATCCGGAAGCAATTAATAGCCTGAGGAAAAGGTTTGTGTTCCACTTGTTCTATATTGTTATCATTTATTGTTCCGCAATTAATTTGCTTAAACCGATCAGCTCCTCTAATCGCAATTCACTGACATTGCCCGAGAATGAGGAGGCTGTTCTTCGTACCTTTGATTTTCTGGAAAATGCTACTAAGTCGACCGAGAAGCCTAACCCCCCTGTTGATGCCGAAGCTCCATGGAATGACGATAAGCCAGCCTCAAGTGTAAGTCATCCCTTCTCAACTTTAGGCTGACAAAACGAAAAAATGCGATGTCTAAAAGCATGTTTTCTTAACATTTGGGAACATCTTTGTAGGGGATATCATCCTTGCTTTCGGGGTTTGACTCCCGAACTGGACAGCCTAAGCGATTTGGGAGGAAAGCCGGCGTTGATAATAATTTGGTGGTAAGCGGGGCACTGTCTTATATTACCAAATACGATGGAGGAGTTTATCCGAAATCTTGAAATTAGGAGTTTCTAAATTCGCTCTCGGACAAAGAGGGCGGGGAAACGGAGGCGCTGTCCAAACTGGGGGACGCAGTGTGGCCTTTGGGTTCACAGGCGCCGTGTGTAGATGGTGAACCCAGTAACGCTTCCAGTGCCTCTAACTTGATGCCCTTCAGCTCGGCTAATCAGGTTGAAGTAGATGGATCTTCCGCAGCCGTAGGTTTGGGTGACCTCGCTAGTCTTACCGTCGCAAACGAATCGGAAAATGGGAATGGTACGTCGTCAGCTTCAAATCCTCGCTTTGGTTTCATTAAACTTAGTTATCTTTTCTCCATGTTCCTCGCTATAGATACGGAACAGTGTGAAACTGGAGGCTTTCTGTCAACTGAATCAGGTTTTGGGCAAAAACAGTCCTCAGCATCATCAACGGTGGCTGGCTCTCGACGTCCTTGGACAAAAAAGTTCGGTTTGAAGGGTCACTTTGACTCGGTTCGCTCAATTTCCTTTCACCCTAGTGAACCATACCTATTCTCTGGTGGTGAGGATGGTCTAGTCATGCTATGGGCTTTGCGTCGTCCCGGATCCCCTAAACCCGTAAGTTCGTTTTTATTATTTCCACCTCACCTGCGGAAATAGCCGTTATTTGTGTTCAATTCAGGTGAATCTTCTTAGTACCTACTGTCTCGGATGATTCTAATAGTGAGATAACCGAGAACCGTTCAGTCTAATTGGTTATCGCTGACATCTTGTTATTGATTCGACGATTGTCATTCTTGGATATTTAACTTTTATCAGCGGCAAAAAAACTAGTTATTACGCATTTGGCTGATAAGTGTTTGAAGGATATGCTTGTTTCTCTTATCGTAGCATCTGAAATAGTTTTGCATGTATCATTGAGTATGCTCTCGCTTTTCTTTGACTACAGAGTGCAAACAATGCGAAGAACGGCAATCAAATGGCTGCGATGCTTTTGGCCAACGCCCCGCCCGACCTCGATCCGGTTCATATTTATCGAGGCCACATGGGACCCGTGTTGTCAGTGTCCGTGCCAGCAGTAGGCCAGTGTGCGAGCGCTGTTTACTCCTCCAGTCTTGACGGAGTTATTCGTGGCTGGCGTCTTCCCCCTCCCGACCCTTTCTCTGGGCTTTTCGATCTCTACTCCCTCTCACAGACCGTAAACGAATTCGGTCCTTTGCTCAAGCGTAAGCCAAGTTCATCACTACCTTCTGTCTTTTAAACTCATAAATGATCAAATGTGGTTGTCGGTATACTGCTTCACTCACGATAATTCCACTGGCACTTTCTGAAGCCGTTTGAAGAGTATAACGATGCGCAGTATTAAATGGTTTTCAACACTTTAAATGGCCCTATGAAACTGCTTACCAAGTTAAGAGCCGCCGACCAAACGCCATGAATTCGCTAGCATGAGTTTGTGTCGAAGTCACTTGTGCTTTTAAGTAGCTGTGTTACATCTGCATTATGTACATCATATATCTTTTACCGTGCTTTGGCAATCAATTCACCAGAATGAAATCTGGTGCACCGTTATCTTTACTTTCCGCTTTGTCGTCTAAATGGGCCCTTTTATTTAGGTCCGGATTCCCCGGGAAACGCTGTTTGGTCGATATCTGTGCACCCCAGTCTCCCCCTACTGGCGTCTGTTGACACCTCTACCGCAGTCTCCTTTTGGTCCCTCCAGACGGATGTGCTGTCTGGGGATGACGAACCGCCCCTTCCCATTGAATCCATCCCTCCCTCGCGCACCATCATTCTCAGCGAACTTATCACACCCTCCGGTGAGTCTTTATTGCATATGAACCATTCCTTATGACATGTTCCAGAGCTTCATTCGTTAGCATCCTATGCCCGCGATTATGATGCTATAAATGGACATAACGGCGACCAATGGTAGTGAACCAGACTTACTATGTATCACTGACCAGTGTACTGTAATGACAGTAGTCCAACTTAACGAGTTGTTAAACAAATAATTTTTAATATGGAGGATGTGAAAGTGGCTACACGAGTGCATTGGCTTTACCTAGACACTTTTGTTGCAATTCGCCATTTGCTGAAATTGGAATTTGCTGAATCTCTGCTAATTCTCAATGCCGAGTGGCTGTTGAGAGACACTTAAAAGCTACGATACTTTGGTTTAATCATAAAGCTTTATTTCAGTGGCTTGTGGAGGTTAACTTAAATAACGGTTGCTTCAGACAATGAGGCGGGTGTGGGCCGGCCGACCAGCGTGACGTTCCTCAGCGTTCGTCCAGATCCCTCTAACGCCACACAATGTCTTGTTGGTACTAGCACTGGTTGGCTTGCGCTCATCGACGTGGAGACTGGCAAGATTGTCAACAAGGTAGCCCCTCCCACCGAATCACCTTCCATTGCACCCACCACTGAATCCGATTTCAACGAGGGCGATTCCTTCAATCATCAGCACTCCAACGTTAATCTCAGTACGTTTTCTTGCGTGCTCCACTCAGGCGTGGAATTTTGAACGAGTTGTGGAATATTTGTGCTTGACGTTACCGTGCTTTGTCACTTGCAGACTCGGTGACCTATCCAGCTGCTGATTGGGGTCCTAGAGGAATTCATGATATCACCATGTATCAAACATTTTCGCTGGCCATAGCGGGCCACGAGGATCGATGTATTCGGTTCTACGATATCACTAGGCAGGGAGGAAGTGCTGGTGGTGAATCGGGGAATTTTTGTGTTGGGACCGTTGTTACCCACCTTGATGCCGTTACCTGTCTTACGGTTGATCCACATGACCTCTATGTCCTCACTGGAAGTCAGTTTTTCCTCTTTTACTCATTTTTTAATTTCAATTTGTCCTGCGATTTTGGCATAAATGGTTTCGTTGCTTTTAGTGAAGCTGGTTTTTAGTATGCTGTTTACCAAGAAGTAAAATTGAAGTCGGCAGTGACGATGTCTTACAAAGAATCGGGAAAAGTTTGCTTTTTGTAAGGTAGCGAAATGGGTGTGGGTGTTGATACCTCATAGAAATTGTTTATGCACACGCCAGCTTGCATTGGTGCAATCCAAGTAGTAGTTGCCACGGCTGACTATTGTCTCTTCTGGCTAGCAGCCAATTCAGCGCAAACCTGCACACTTGCACAGTGCGCTCCGCCGCATAAAAATAGACCCTCATCCGAAGCCAAAACACCGCATGTATGGAATGCAGTGATTCATCTAGGTGCACAACAGTCGGACTGCTGTCAGACGATACCTCTGACAACAAAATTATGTGCTTTCAACTTTGATTACGAACGCTTGGTTTTCCGCGGTGTTTTCATTGACCTTGCATTTTACACTAACCTAGATCTACCTTAGCCGCCTCACTTTTGTTCAGTGGTTCTTTACCCTGTGTCCTTTATGCTCCATATGTAAATTTTCTTACTATTCGTATCAAGCAGTACGTATTCGACATCAATTACACTTCTTCTTTCCAGATAATACTTTAAAATCGCACTTTGATGCAAAGATAAGACTAGATGTGTTAGGAAGCATTAAATTAAATGTCTAAGTCCTTCTTATCTGTCGCGTGTGATGAAATAGATATTCTTAGCTTAAACGGCGCTTACATGGAAACTTGTTCTTATCTTATACCACTCTTCTAGGTCACGATTCCTCAATTCGTCTGTGGGATCTGGAGAGTAGGGCGTGCGTTCAAGAGATGACGTGCCATCGTGTGAAGAATAACGAGTCTATCCACGCTGTAGCCATGCACCCGACTCTGCCTTTTGCTGCTAGCGCGGGAGCCGATGCCCTCTGCAAAATTTATACCTCCCTGTGATCTCGCCACACACACTCATCTGCGAACACACAAGCACCTGTATATGATTTCCTCTTCCTCCTCTTAAGTGGCGCATTTGTTTGAGTCTTCTCTACCACTACTTTTCCATGGCGTCTTCTCCCTCCTTCCCACTTTCGTGCCTGGAGACTGCAAACTTGTTGCTCGCATTGGTATACAGCACGAATTTGGTTTTCATTCCCATTTTCGGCTGCCGTCTCCTGTCATTGTTCTCTCCATTCGTTAGCCCTCCTATCCGTCCATTCATTCTCCTGTCTGAAGTCAGCATGCAGTTAGCTACTCCCTTCGCCCTGCCCATTTTAATCTATCAGGGGGCTCTAATAAAGAATTGACGCTTACGAGATTTATGGTGGTGCTCCAGAGTCCAATGTAAACGATTCTTTCGAGGAAATCGATGTGGTTTACGTTTTTCGGGAATGCATACTTACGCTTACGGTAAGCAATGTGGAATCTGGTAGGTGCTACCGCGTTATTGTTGATTGTCAGCGTCTGTCTCGGAGTAGAATGTCCCTATTCCAGTGCTACTGATGGATTAGGCCTAAATACAATCGAATCGGTGTGGCTCGATAGATCTGTTGGGTGCGTGATAAGTCTTCCGATTAAGTGGTTGCGAGTGCTTGAGATTTTTGGAGCATTAGGTAAGAAGCTGCAGATGTTCTTTCATTTAGGCTTTGAAATCAGGAAATCCAGATAATATCCGTCCTTCATGACACAGCAGCTGGTGGTACTGTAGGTGTATTATTTTTTTAATGAATTTGAACTTGATGGTCAAATTGATTAAGTTGTATTTAAATGCAAGTTTATCGTTGCACTTTCTGACTCGCTTTCCTCTTCCTCAACCACAGACCTCTTAAGGGGAACATGCTTGGAGGAGGAATAATTGGACACAGTTATATAGATCCCATCTGTGAGGATTGGGTCACAACCAAGATGGAGAGGCTACTCCTCTCGAGGCACCCCGTATTCCACTTGCACGGCTTTCGAATTGACCAATCGTCTCTCCCCTGTACGAGCAAATTAGACGCATTAATAATATACTACATTTGTTATTGTTGAAGCCGGAATTGGTAGTGTTAGGATTTATAGGCGCCAAATTTTCTTAAAAGCTGCGTATGTAGAAGTGAGCTACTGGAAGTGAAGACTTACCTTTATAGTATTTTGAAGAAGCTATTAAGTGAACAGTGAGGTGTCATCATGGACAAATTTTGATTTGGACGGAAATTTTAGCATTGAATTTTCATTCTTATGGGTAACTGCAATGTCCCGAGCCCTCAATGAAGACATAATTTAGAACCTTGACGCCAAGCAGAAGTACACAGACGGATCCTTGATTTCTCGCAAAGAGGAAATGAAAGCTTGAGCAAATAGTTGGTGGATTAAAGGTGTGTTACGTACAGAGCAAACTGACTGCAAAATATTTTTTCCCCATAGAAAAAATACGCACAGTTGGTCAATGCGATTGCCGGAATACTCATGGTACCATTGGAACTTTGGTTGTTGTGGTCACCTTGTTCATGAAACTCTATACCAGTCGAAGTAAATTCCATTCGCCAGACA